GTATCTGTGTAAACTCAGATACTAATTGATATACATGAAAAAATCCTCTCAAACATAAGGAAGAATAACTTCTTAAATTAAACTAAATAACAATAAATGTAATAGTAAATAGTGTCCTTATTACATAGATTTAGATTCAAAAGAATTATCTGTGTATACACACACACACACACACACACACACACACACACACATATATTAATATTTTAGCTGGTCAGGTTTAATTTTCCTATGGTTTTGCTGAGTAGAAGGTTCCCCTCTACCTTTTAAATAAATGATACAAGTTTCATGAAATACATGGTGAAAAATTCTTGAACTTCAAAAGAAAAAAAAACCAGCATGAATTTGGTATATTTCATAAACTTGGTCAAATGTGCAAATGTCCAATAAGTTTCCTCCAATTTCTACCTACAGTATTGACTTGGTAGTATTACAAAATGTCACTATCTTTCTCTGAGGTTATTTCTATATTTGGGAGAACTGCCACCACCCTCTTCCCCACCTGGAGCCATTTCTTTCTTCTTAAGAGAAGTACCTCTAGCAGCCATCCATTCCACTTTAAAGTCTGTGTGATTACCCAAATCTCAAAACACAGAGTGACTCAGGGATTGGAAAGGCTGAGGGGGGTAGGGAGAGAAAAGAACAAAGGTCAGAGCAAGTTACAGTAATGTGTGGGCTTATGACTACATCTGTAGGAACACAATTATGAGAATAGCTTTATGTGAGTATACAGTCAAAGGAAACTGAATAAGAATAAAACCCAGCAAGTCTTTTAGTCAGCTTAGCTCATTTAATGGCCAAAGTGTACAGCTAGAATCCAGAAAATTGTTTCAATATACAAACTTGCCTTAAAATTCCTCATAATTAAAGTGGAAAACCGTATTTTTATATTGCCACACTTCTACCATAATTTTATAAATTATATATATATATATGTTAAAAATATTTTTCATTGGGGAAATGAAAATGAAAAAAAACTTTATTTCCTTAAATGTCTACCTACCTATCTACCTACAACTAAAGCTGAGCAGGTTGTTTTGTTTTGTTTTTTTTAATAAGTCACAGTTAATCCAGCAAGTCTATCTTGTCTAATACTACAAGTAGTCACAATTAAATTAGCCCATGCAAATTAATACATTCAAAATGATTCAACTACCCAAATTAGCTGTTTTCTACTCAGGTTTCTTTCTCTTTTTTTTGTTTTTTTTTTTGCTTGTTTATTTTATTATGGATATAAATCATGCCAAATTTTATTTTATGAATGCACTTTTCTGGGTGTTATAAACATATCTATTAGTGAACTATTCATTGGTGGTATAGTAGGCCCCAACATTAACTACTTTTTAACTTTATATTTCATAAATAATAGAGTCACAGATTTTAGAGCTCAGAGAGACCTCAGGGGCTATGAATAAGTTAAACAACTTCATTTTACTGACAAGGAAACTTAGATATAGATAGGTTAAATGACTTGCCCAGGATCATATAGATAAGGCATGTCTGAGGCAGGATTTGAAATTATTTTTCTGACTCTAAATCCCATGGCCTATCTACTACTCCACGTGGCTTCTCACGGACTAAAAATTTTCATTTTTAATCAACATAGGTAAAAGGAATTAGACATTTACATTATATCACACCAAAATGTAGTTTAAAAGTGTTACTGAAAGATACAATTTTTCCAAAGGAGTAAAATATATTAGAAACATATTTACTGATTCATTCCCTGTTTGGGGACTAAATCTTATATAGAAACAATCATTTTTTTAAAAGGAAAATAAATAATTATCTTCCATTCATGTGCTTATAAATCTAGAAGCTCCATTATTTATTATTGATTATACAATGTTTTATTTTTCCTAAATTGCTCTCATATTTACCATATTATTTCTGTGTAATAGAAAGGGGCTACAAGGCAAAAACATGAAAATTTTGCCAAGCATGAATTAAGTACTTCACTTAACTGACTTGATCACAGGATATAATTTATAGTGATCTGTCAGATAGCTGTGCCTTTTAAATTTCAAGCAAAGGGAAGTCATCACTCATTTTAGCCAGTGGAAAGAAACCACAGTAAGTCTGTGCCCATTGTAAACATAGGCAGCTGTTAGACTAATAAGAGAACTAACTTTTATATAGCAACTACTGTATATATGCAAGGCACTGTGCTAAGCTCTTTACAAATATCCTCTCATTTGATCCTCACAAGAACCCAGGGAGGTAGATGCTATTTTTATCCCATTTTATAGATGAGGAACCTGAGGCAAACAGAGGTTTAAGTGACATGCCCCAGTCCACATAGCTAGGGAGTATGTGAGAGCAGATTTAAATTCAGGTCTTCCTCACCACAGGCGCAATGCTCTATTCACTGCATCATCTAGCTACCCATAGGAAGTAAACACACTGACGAGGGCAAGAAATTGTTTTTTGTGGCCTCCAGTGGTTATATCTTGAGACAGATTTTACCATTTTTACAAAATGTTTTGAATCTGTCTTCTTTAGGGAAGTTTTTGAAGTTATAAATGTCACTTCTAGTGAGATTAATAGACGGAAGCCTCAATGGCTGCTGAAAGACAGGTTTCCACTCTAATTCCTTATAGATGAATACTGAAGAGGGCCTAACAAGGTAGCCATATAGCAAAAAAGTTCAATGTTTCTCAAATTTTTATTATGTGTACATGAAGCTAAAATATATTCAGGATTATTTGGTTAGTTCTAAGGATTTGTCTTGTTCACTTATCAGGCCTCACACTATACAACTAGCTGGGGGAAAAAATTGAGAGAACTCTACTTTTTTGACTTTCTGTTCAAAGAACTATTATTTTCATTGGGATTTATTAAATCACATATGGGGTTTAAATTGCTCCAGATATTTTAAAAATCTCTTCTTAGCACAAATGAGCAGTTGGTTCACTGTTTACAGATTTATTCTTTTTCTCTGAAATGTATAATTTAAAATGACAGAGTAGTAAGAAAGAACTAGTCAAAAAAGACATAAACCCCAATGGAAGAACTTTTTTATTTATGTAAAGTATGAAACTCATTTCTTATTTTAAGTTAAAAGAAATTGCCTCACCCCTACATAGATTATCCTTCACATTCTTCCCCCCCTCTCCTTCCCCTCCAAAAACAAAAAAAATTGGCAAAAGTTACCTAAAACCTCAATAAATGGTAAAATACTATGTGTGTATAATCATAGAGGCATATATGATATATTCTCTTCTGTCACTTAAGTCTCATTATGAGACACAAATGCTATGCATTTCTAGTTTTAAAAAAAGCATCTCATCTTTAATGAAAGTAAAATGATACAATGCTCTTGAACAGTATTGGATTTCTTCAAATTTTGGTAGAGAATGCCATTAAAAAATCAAATTCATTTTTCCTTCCTATCTGAAGATTCATTTTCTTAAATATTCTTATCTTTGCATATAGAAAATAATTAACTATTTTACATATTGGAACAAAATTCCTGAGTTCTGGAATTCTGTTAAGACCCTATGTCTCTTATTAATAACACCAAATTATCTACTCAATAATACACAATAGCCTACCTGAGTTTTTTTCATCTTAATATTTCCTATATTTTGAAATGCTTTATTATAGTTTGAAATTTAAGATAAGGAAAATAGGTGGTCCTGGCTTTTTAGAAGCTAGGTGGTACAATGAATAGAGATCAGGATTAGAAACCAGGAAGAAATCTTGCCTCAGGCATTTAGCTGTGTTACCCTGGGCAAATCACTTAACTTTTATTTGCCTCAGTTTCTTCTTCTATAAAATGGGAATAATAGCACTGTTGTGAGGATCAAATTATTAAAATATATAAAACACTGAAAAACTTAAGAGTGCTATATAAATCATAGTTATCATTATAATTATCATTATTAATATTTAACACAAGTTACTTCAAAGCAGAAAATAATGGAGGGCACATACTAATTGGAAAAATGCTGACTTAGCAAATTATTTAAGTTATTTCATTTAATGGGAAGAGCCATGACAAATAGCAATAATTTCAGCTATGTTCATACAAAGTTGGTATCCAAGGATTTCATCCAGTTCACCACAGCAACATGAACTCTCATTTCATCTGACAGTACCAAGTGAGAGATTCATCACCTGTGTACTGGAATGCTGGAAACACCTGCTTAAAATCTGTAGGAGATATGAGGAGTGATAGAGTAATGAAAAGTTTCAGTCATGCAGTGCTACAAAAAAAGTGGAGTACTACAACAAAGAAAGTGACATTTGCAACAGAAAACAAAATAATATAATAAAGATGCAAGTATGAAACAGTTATTCAAGAAAAACAGCAATGTTAATGGTTACCTAATATGAAACATCTAGTCATAATCGAGTGGCTTACATATCAGTGTTCTAACATCACTCTATTGCTCACTAGGAAATTCTTAAAATTTTCATATTTTAACGAAACATGATGGTAAAGTAAATATGAACTAGGCCTACGGATTATGGATTTAAAACTGGAAGGGTCCATCTAGTCCCATTCCTTCATCTCCCTCATTTTATATATGAGGAAATTTACAGTGGGGGTGGGAGAGAAAGAAACAGATTTAACATCTTAAGTGAAAAGATGGTAAAATGAACATGGTGCCATATGTGGCTTTATCAGTAATCTTTAAATCACAATACAATTTGCACAGGAATGCTCCCTTTAACTCATGAAAATGTCAAGACCAAATTCACTCCTGGCTATGACCATATACCTTTTGATTTTAAATACAAAGAAAGGAAACACTCACTGGTTTTGCTTTCAGTTAAAGTACCATTATCTGATTAAGCAGTTTGTTTTCTCTTTAAAAGTTTTAGGCTACAATCTGATGAAGTCAGTCTAGCTGAGGCACATTTACTTTGTCTGTCTATCGACACCTTTTCCCTGACTGTTGAATTCATCAAAAACATGTACGCGTGGATTGGACATTGAAGGATCTTATGAACAATTGCATTGACTTTTGACTTTAACATGGAACACAACATACTTTTGGGGAATCTAGGTGGATTGTCATTGACATCAGTGAGAGTGATGTTCACTGTGGTGGTTCCTGCTAGTCCTCCCAGCTGTCCTCCCATGTCCTTGGCTTGGATGAGTACTTGATATTGTTCTTTGACCTCCCTGTCCATATTTGGCAAGGCTGTTCTAATTACACCTTCAAGGAAAAAAAAAACATACATATCACAAAAATTAAATTCCATAAAATACAATATTTGTATTTTGCTCTTCATTGTGGCAGGGAAAGAGGGCAATCTAGTGGAACTAGCAAAGAATGTCTGAAGTTTTTTTTCTTCGTTAATGGTTCTTTGGCATATTTTACCCCATTTATAACATAATACCACAGCCTCTTGATTTATTTCTTCTTGCATATCTCCTTGATATCTCACAAATTGTTCAAAATAGTCAACACTGAAATTGCTCTCTCTATATTCATGGTAATCATATTTTTATTGTTGTTCTCAAAAGATGGCATCTAGATAGAGGTGGTGATTTTATAATGCCATCATGCTTTTGCTGCATCAGTACATGTTGCTCTTTAGTTTCAGTCTAAGAAGGATCCAAGGTCAACCTTGCACAAAATTCTTCTCTATATCTTATAGATTTAAAACAAGTTTTCAAGATATTTTTCTTTTTATATATAGTACTGTGGTAATATTATTCTTTATTTTAATTAATGAATATTAAATTACTTGGATGATGTTAACAATAATGACCAACTGACAAGTGTTTATTAAGCATTTACACACTTTGTATTAGGCACTAGGAATATGAAGACACAAATGAAATAGAGTCTGCCCTTTTAGAGCTTAGACTGTATCTGGAAAGATAACACCTACATGTTTAATTATTATACAAATTAATACAAGGCATTGAGTTTTCTTGGGGAGTTTGAAAGGCTGTAGCCTTACTAAAACATTAGCAAGAGAAGGAATCAGGAGAGGCTTCATAAAGAAGGTGGCACTTGACCTGAGCTGAGCCTTGAAGGAAACATGGAATTTTAAGTGGCTAAGGTAAGACTGGCTAAGGTGAGACAGAGGGCATTCTAGGCCCTTGAAATATAACAAAATATGAAGTATCAGGTTAAGCGAAGAGTAATAATAAGGCTGGAAAGGAAAGTTGGAGCCATGTTGAGCTTTAAGTGACATTACTTTGTAATTGACATTAGAGGTACCACCAAAAAAAAAGTACATTACAAACATTGAAAGTACACACCTTATCTCTTTTATAAACTGCTTAGCTTTCTGATACTCAGCTCTATGAATGTGTCAGCACTAGTCTTCACCTCTGTGCTTATCCATCCACATCTGGTCCTCGCCAAGAAGCTTATCATGTATCTTTGCCTTAGTAAAAGGCTTGTTCTTATTGCTGGCAAACTTTGTTTCTCAGGAATATCTCCTGGGTTCCTATTTCCTTCTACTTAACCTCTCCAACTTTGGAAATTTTGCCTACCTAAATTGATAACTCCCCCTTTGTTTTAGCTCACGTCTCTGGTTTTCATCTCTGATCTACCTTACCTTAACTGTGAGCCTGTCTCACTTATCAGAAGGGAAATGCTATTCCCTCCTGTCTTCTTGTCATCCAATTTTCAATTGTTATTCAAACAAATAAACACAATGCTTGGTATTTATTTGCATATAGTTAAATATGTAGGGTTCCCCCCCACCCTCCTCTTCCTCCTCCTCCTCTTCCTACCACTACTACCAAAACTATTGCTACTGCTGCTGCTGTTGCTGCTGCTACACCTTCTAGCTAACTAGAATTTATACAGCACATATTATGTGGCAGGCACTATGCTATGTACTTTACAGTATCTCATTTGATCCTTACAACAATCCTGGGAGGTAGGTGCTGTTATTATCCCCATTTTATATTTGAAGAAACTGAGACAAATGGAGGTTAAGTGCCTTGCCCATTGTGGCACAGCTAATAAATGTCTGAGGTGGATTTAAATTCAGTTCCTCCAGACTCTAGGAGTAACACTCTGTCTACTGTGGCACCTAGTTGTTCTTAAGTATTTATACATACATACATACATATATACATACACACACATGTATGTGTATGTATATACATATAACACATATATTACATATTTACCTACATATATTTTGCTGATCGGGAAATTGAATCAAAGACTAATTTTCCCAACTGTATGTATCAATTTCATTTTACTATACTATACACTGAGCTACACACTAATCTACTTCTCTACCTTTTAGTTCAGTATTCTCAAATGTTTTTAAATAGAATTCAGGGAAAATTTAGAAAGTACATGGAATATCATATTTGCTTCTTTAGCAAACTTCAAATATTTTAAGGTATTTGATCTTTCTGAAGAAATAAAACTCAAATTTTGCTAGCGAACTAATTATTTCACATGATGATGATGATGATGACAGCTAACATGTATATAGTGCCTACTTACCCTGTGCCAAGCACTATGCTAAGTGCCTTATAATTATTACCTCATTTGATCCTTACCACCATAATCATGGAAGGCAAACACTATTATTATCTCCATTTGTAAGATGAGGAAATTGAAGCAAACAGAGGTTAAGTGGCTTACCCAGGGTTACATAGCTAGTAATTCTCTGAGGAAGGATTTGAAATCAGGTCTTTTTGACTAATAAAGTTCTGTATATTTTTGGAATTCTTTCTAAGGTAGTTCTTATCGCGGCTAACGTTAGTTCTTGTCTAGACTATTATAATAGCCTCTGAAATGGTCCTCCAACATTCCAAATGTGAGCCTATTTCAAGTCTTTCTCTTCTCCAATTCATACAACTGCTTGAATAATCATCTTAATCTGCTGATTCAATCATGCCACTCCTTTACTTAAATTCTTCTAGTAGCTCCTCAATTCCTCCCATCTAAAGAATAAATCTCAGTTGCTGCTATTAAAGTCTTTAATAATTTGGCTACAAAACACCTTTTCATCCTCATCTCACATTGTTTCCTTTCAAATACTCTACCTTCTTGCTAAGCAATACTCACTTTTATCCCCCATTCTTGTCCTAACCCCTCCTATTTCTAAGACTTTGCTGGCATGATTCCTCCTACCTAAAATGGACTCTCTTCACCCTATTTATCTAAGTCCCTTTTTTTCCTTCAAGGCCTAACTCAAGTGGCCTAATTCAGGAAGCATTTATTGATTTCATCCTCTCCAATGAGTTAAAAATGCTCTCTCCAAAACATTGTACATAGTAATAGCAACATTGTACAATGATCAACTATGAATGACTTAGCTACAATGATCCAAGACAATTCCAAAGGATTTATGATGGAAAATGCTATCCACATCCAAGGAAAGCATTGATGGTGCCTGAATTCAAATTGAAGCATACTATTTTCACTTTATTTTTGGGTTGCCTTTTTTTTTCATTTTGGTCTGTTTCTTCTTTCACAACATGACTAATACGGAAATATGTTTTACATGATTGCACATATATAATCTATATCAAATTGTTTAATGTCTTAGGAAAGGGGGACTTGAGAGAGGGAGGAAGAAATCTTGACACTCATTTTTTAAAATGAATGTTAAAACGTGTCTTTACGTGAAAGTAGAAAAAAATCGAGTAGTACAAAAAAAAGAAAAAAAGAAAGAAAAGTTCCAATGGCTGTGATCCAATGAAATAGAAACTGAAAAAAAAATAAAAGGTCTTTCTGTCCTGAAATTTGTTATAAGATTTTGCCAACTTCTCCCTTTGTACTTCTTTCCCTGTTTTTTATATCACTGGTATGTGTGTGTATATACATACATAAATACATACATGTATGTGTGTGTATGTGTGTGTGTGTGTGTGTGTGTGTGTGTGTGTGTGTGTACAAGACCTGTGTCATGCATCTTTATATCCCTGGTCCTAGCACAGAATAGGTGCTTAATAAATGTTTGTTTCATAAATGAATGGATTAATATGTATTTGTTTGGAATTGCCTGTTTAGTGTCTGCTTATGGCAAATGCCACTACAAAACCTAATGCATTTTCTTTCTTGCCTTTGTTCTTGGTACATGAACCATTCTACTATTTTTAACCCTACTTCTTCTGATGCAGGTATTGAGGGACTTAATAAATAAGGTATCAGGAAATTGAATATATTACCAGTTTCAACATAAGGAAAGAATGTGAAACAAGACTTCAGTGACTGATGAATTAATTTAGGAACATAATCCATTTTCTGAAAAAAAATACTTTTTCTGGTATCCTTATCTAATTTGTCATTTATACTCATAATTCAACCAAGATTGCACTTTTTTAAAGGGTCTGACCCTCCAATATAAAGCTATTCTTTAAGGAATGAAAATGTGTAGAAAGTAGACCAGAGAAAACCAAATGATTGATTATCTTTTTAATTTCATCCAAATTTTCTGGGTTTGGGTCCCAGTCGGTCTGTCCTAATACAATAAGGAAAAAAGTAAATAAAACTTTAGATTCTGATGAGGAAGGTTATAATTTCCTGGATAATCAACTAATCAATCATCAATTATTAAGTAAATACTGATTTTGTGTCAGGCCCTGTGATGTGTACTAGCCATACCAAAACAAAACAAAACAAAACAAACAAAAAACCCAACAATACCAACAACCACAAAGTAGGGAAGAAGCAAAACAATCCTGCCCTGTATTTCACCATATGTAGAGACTAAGTATAACCCTAGGCTAGGGATCAGAAGACTACCAAATCATCGATTTAGGGGTAGAAGAGATCTCAAAGGCCATCAAATCCAACTCTCAAATTTTTGAGAAGATAAAGCAGGAGCACTAGGATATTAAGAGATTTGTTCAAGTTCATACAGGTTCACACAGCAAGCATCAGAGGTAGAATTTGAGCCTCCATCCTTTGAATTCAGAGTTAATTCTTTTTCTACTATACTATGGCTGCTGTGGTATAAATCTGTCCTCTGCTATTAAGGTAAAGCAATGAGCTTTCCTTTAACCTTTCTGAGCCTCAGTCTTCTCATCTGTAGAATGAAGATTATAATTAATTCATATACATAAGTTTAATAATTTTATTAAGAAGATCAAATGAGACGATTAAGGTGAAAGTGCTTTGTTAATTGTAATGTGCTATGCAAATGTAAGGTCTTATCAGTAATTATCATTCACAGTCTTAATTGCCCAATATTAAATGATATCATGTGAGTTAGATCTATGTAT